CTAAGACTCTGATATTGTTTAAATTTATTTTCTGTGTTTTTATTCTTTATTATATTGTTAATAAATTGATTAAGTTCGAAACCCTTTTATTGTCTTCAATGTCTGCACAACATATTATCTCAGGGAGCTTTTATTGCTACTATTGCTAAAATGTTTAATTTTATAAACTTTAAACTTTGCTTTAGCATCATTTTGGTTATGGGCCACAGCCCCTGAGTTATTTTTAGTGCAGACTTTTGAAGTTTAAAGTTAATTTAGGACTTAAGAGATTGGGGGGCGGTTTTTGTTAAAATTCGAATATGGCTAATGTTAGTGTCATGCATAATATTGCTAAACTTGAGGCATGTAATTACTTTACATGGTCCAAAGATATGAAGTTTGTCTTAAATGAGAAAAATGCATGGCTTTTGGTTAAAGGTATTGAAAAATGTCCAGATTTAAATGATGTTAAGGGTATTACAAAAGAAATTATTGCCGACTATCAAAATAGAAGTGGATTGGCATTATTGTTAATTTATATGAATGTAAGCCCTGAATATAGAAGCTTGATATGTGAATTTGATGACCTGGTAGTGGCATGGAATACACTTGCCAAATACTTTCAGCCAGATTATCGGTCAAGACATATGTCCCTGTTTTCAGAGTTCTTAAATTGTAAAATTAAGCCAAATGAAAGTATTAGTTTCTTTTCTTCTAGATTAAAACGCGTAACTGAACAGTTAGCTGATATTAATCAGGCTGTAAGAGACGTATATATATGTTTCCAGTTTCTTAGGTTCCTTCCAGATAAATTTGATCAAGTAGTTTAGAATGTTTTGAGAGGGCCAGATGAAAAGTTCATTTTTAAAAATGTTGAACTTGAAATACTAGCAGAGGAAACGCGTCTTAACTTAAGAGAGATAGATAGGGAAAACTCCAATAAGACTATAGAAGTTCAAAGTACTCACTGTGAACCCAAATTTAAGCAGATTAAAGGGCTCAAGTGTTATAAATGTGGCCGTCCAGGTCATTTCAAAAATACTGTAGAATGAAAGATAATTTTTCCAGATCACCCTCACCTGCTTCTTCTGTTTCCTCAGCTGTATCTAGTAGTAATAAAGCATCTCCTAAGTGTAAGAATAAACCCAAGTTGAGTAAAGGTAAAAATAATTCCCATGCTCACTCCCATTTCATAGCTCAAGCTAATGTTAACAATTTGGAGGAAAATGATTATAGTTGGATATTTGATACTGCTGCATCTCATCATTTTTGTAATACTTTTCTCCTGTGTGTGTTCTCCTTCGATACTTTTTCTCCTGTGAAAAATGAAAATATGCTAGTAGCTATTGATGGGGTAACTTTTCCAATTCATGGGTACTGTTAAAATGAAATTTGGGGATACGGTTATTTTGCTTAAAGATGTGTTATACTCATCTGAACTGAGACGAAATTTAATATCTGGACCTAGGATGGATATCAATGGAGCAAGATTTTACGGAAAAATGGGCAAATTAAAGTTACTGATGATGAAAATGAAACTTTGTACAAGGCTAAGTTGATAGGAAGTAACTATCATGTATTTCCGAAAATAGTGAAAAAGGGGGGCAAATCTGTAAAATTTGAGGCATCTACAGTTCAGCATAACAATTGAATTAATTATGGCATGGTCGGTTTGGTCATATAAATTATGGTGCTATTGTCAGGACTAGTAAGAGACATTCAATTCAAGGTCTTCCTGTGTTAAAGCACTCACTTAATTTGTTTTGTGAACATTGCCAAATCTATAAACAAAGACGAATCTCCTATATACCCTTAGAAGGTATTCAAGTAAAGAGGCCGCTTGAAAGGGTTTTTTCTGATGTACGGGGACTTATTAACATTCCAGGTAGGAATAGTGAACGTTATTTCGTTTCCTTTTATTGACGAATATTCTCGTTACGTGGTAGTGTACTCCATTGTGGAGAAAAGTCAAGTGTTTGAAGTATTTGAAAGGCATATAGAACGTGCGGAAAGATCTTTGAACCTTAGGTTGAAATACTTTAGGACTAACAATGGGCGAGAATATGATAATGATCAATTCAGGTCATATTGTAATAAAAATGGTGTAAAATGGTGTTATTTTTTGCAGACTGTAAGAGCAATTTTATAAAAGTAAACTTGAACTTTCGATTATGTCAAATAGAATTTCCGATGCTGGAGCTCCCAAAGGATCTACAAAACGAAAGTATGTTTCGATGTCCATCAAACAAAAAGTGGAATTGCTGCAAAAAATAGATAAAGACACGAAGAAGGTTACAAAGAGGTTAGTGAAAACGAAAAAATTTCAATTGACAATTAATCGGTATTCTTGGCACAGCAATTACGGGACTTGAACAGCGGAATTTTGTAACTGAACAAGAAATTATGTCTGTTTATAGAATTAAAGAGAAAGTATTATCACATAAAACGAAGCAACTTAAACAACTTACATTGAAAGAAATGTTTAATAAAGTAAACAAATAAATATGAAGCTTTTTTTTTTTTTTTTTTTTTTTTTTTGTTTTTGTAAATTTTGATACTCTTTAGAGCATAATTGCTCTTTATGACTGCATGCCATCTTACGAGATTTAATCTGATGATCTATAATACGGAAAAATCGATAATCCGGAATCGCCGAAATCCCGACGAGGGGGATTAACGACTTTTGACTGTATTACATATATATGAATAAATACAAAATAAAAGCACTCGTGGAAAACCTATTACAATTATGAAAAGCAGCAGCAGGAGATGGTAATAATGCAAAATAAATTGAAAATTAATAAAAATATATTTAAAATTCCTCCTATATTCAGCTCAGAACAAGCCAGAAGCACAAAGGCAAACTGCATGACAGGTACAAAAAATATTAAAACCAAAAATTGAAAAGGATAAAATAAATTTACATCTATTGCTGCATCGTCAATTAGAGGGTTGGCGCAACACAAGAAGTAAATACATAAGTCTGTTTCTGAACCAATAAATGTTTTTAAAATTTTGCATTATATATATTTATATGTAATAAATTCAGGACTCGGAAGCAATGACCAGGAAATTGGAGGCGAAGGTAAATTAAATCTTCAGTTTTATTTTCGGAAAAATGTTGCAACTACACACAAATTGGCACATTAAATGTGCCTGTTCCAAGAGATGTTACATTTTAGATAAATTTTGCAATAAGAAGGAAAGAGCAGACAGACTACAGCGCGGCCAGGCCAAAGCATAGAAAGCAAGTGCATAATATTCAGGATGAAATCTCAAGTCAGACTGAGTTTGTTTTGGTTCTCAAAGCATTTTGATTGGATAGTTAATATTGCTGTAAAATTATTATTGGCTGCTTGAGTTTTAGTTCAGTTTACATCATCATAATCATGTAAGAGTCATATGACATAGAATAGTCTCGAAATGACGCAGTGCAGAGAGAGGTTACTATTTTTAGAATAGAGAAGGGAAATTTATGTTGCTAATTTAATCTTTAACACATTCTTTATTTTTCTTACATATTCCCCTCCTTCAAGAAGAAAAAAGGCGTAGCAACAGAGAAACCTTAAAAAAAAAAAAAAAAAAAAAAAGCGTCAAAGCACTAGCAAATGGGGAAAAAAAAAAAAAAAAAAAAAAATTCATACAATTTTGATCCTGTAAAAATATAACTTATAAATTTTAATTTTTAGAGTTCTATTGAATTTTTCAGCATTTTAGTCCACACGTTGTTTTGTTTGAGAGTTCACATAATCCTAATTCTTCAGGGAAGGTTCTTGTTATCACAGAATATCATAAAATAAACTTTTACTTAATCATTACTTATAATTAAATGTAATGCACGTTAATATTTAGGATACTAATTTCCATATTGATAAATTTTATTTTAACACCATAAATATAATAGGAGTAACAGTTTCAGAAATTATGGTTTCACTGTTGTTATCTTTTATTTACAATTCCTTTATTTTACCATACTGGAAAACCTCGCAATACTTCAAAACAAACATATCTATCAATAGGGCTGTCCCCTTGAGCTAACCAGTGTGTTCTCTGCAGTGGTGGCCCAGAGTGCCTAGGCAGTTACTTGAAAAGGCCTCTGTTCCTTGCATAACGTAACTGGCCTTTGAGAACTGCACTAATACATTCCACAATAAAAAAAGTATAATGATAATAAAAAACAAATTACACACACTCATAAAATGAGAGCCTCCAACATTATCTTACATGAAGAGGGTAAAAGGAACAACTGTACAGAGGTAATTACGTTGCTAGTTGAATCTTTAACATATTCTTTATTTTTCTTACATATATATATACACACACACATATATATATATATATATATAGAGAGAGAGAGAGAGAGAGAGAGAGAGAGACATATTAAAATGAACTGAAATTGATATCACCCTATGACCATAACAAATATATACAGATAGCATAATTATTGATAAAATTTTAAAACATGAATATGGTAGTGCCCCCATATCGGCAGAAAATATATACCAAGAACAATTCATATTAAATAATTTATACCATAAACATATAACATTACCTCTTTATTAAACATGATATAGAGAGTGAGAGTCTAGTCTGGATGATAAATTATATACAGTAGGATATTACTAGCATCTACTTCCTTCGATAAGTACGCATATGGGAACAATGAAGAGCAAAATGCTGTGTGCCCGAGGAAGAAGTGTATGACCTCCAGCAAATTCACTAATATATATCTGCATTGTAAAAAGCACAAATCAGATGTAATCAGTACTATGAGAACACAAGCCCGTTTCTCTACAGACCACTTCCATCCTTCCATTTAGTTACAATAGTCCAAAATATGCATTCAAGTTCACATGCTCAACATAGGAAAATTGTACTGGATGAGCCACAGTTACTTTATAACATTACATCTAATTCTCTTTTAGCATGTACTTTGTAACTTAAACAGTATTTTTTCCCCTTGTTGTATACTACAAATATGGGAGCATGACCATAATTTTATAATTATAGAAACAACAAACCTCTAACATTGACACCAGTTCATGCTTTGACACTCCAAGTCGATCTCTATCCGCACTGTCTACCACATAAATTATAGCATCTGTATTAGAATAATAGCATCGCCAATAGGGCCTGATACTTGTTTGACCACCTAGGTCCCAAACCTGGAACTTCAAATTCCGAAATGTCACTTGTTCGACATTAAAGCCAATAGCTGAAACATTTTTCAAACAACATGTTTAATCACAATATAATATAGCTTCAGCAATTAATGTGAACTTAACAGTACTTTTCTGTTTCGCCGGCGCAAATCTTGCCGAGCAGACTTTATTGGCGACAACACACAGTATACACATAAAAAATTTTAACAAATGTTAGTTCTGAGAAATTCTTATTTTGAAAGCATAAACATTTTAATATCATTTAAAATTATGACAAAAGACATTAATTTAAGAATTTATTACATGCTTTGGTACAGCATCCTGATTCGCCGTTTCACATCATGTGATCCCAAGTGATCTCGTATCTCATCCTACGTAAACTACGCTACAAACATCTCAGTAATTATCTACATTTATTTCAAGTTGAATCTTAATTTGGAATACAAATTTAAATGCTTGTACGAATAGCTTACTCAGAAATTATGTAAAACCGCAGTGCTTTACTTTGCTAGTGCATTCTCATTAGAACTGATGAATTTAAACCTCAACTTTGCATTTTCTGTAGTTTCGCCTTCGGATAACCAATGTGATTGCATCCTAATTGATTAATTACTGTGAATGGCCTTTGGGCATAAAACTGAACTATCTGAGTAAAAATTCTATGTAATTGCATGCCAGTATTGAAAGAAACAATCAATCTGATAAGAAATGGCTGTGACTTGTTTTGAAAATGAGGCGTAAAAGGTTACCAGCGAGGATATTCTATCTGGCTTCGGCAGTACTGTTTTTGGCGACTTTATCGCTTGCGCCAGCAAACTGGAAAAGTACCGAACTTAATCATATAAATCCTATTTGATAATCAGTTTGAAAAAGAACATACACCATGGAAATAATTAAAGAAATTGGGGAAATTTTCATAATAGAATATAAGTATTTTGTGGTAAATACATACACATATGAAGGAATAAAAATTTAAAAATTTACTTGGAATTGTTGTAACTATTTCTCCAACTTGCAACCTATATAAAATAGTAGTTTTCCCAGCCCCATCTAAGCCCAATATAAGGATTCTCATTTCTCGACTTCCAAGCAAATTCTTGAAATAACTAAAAATTCCACCTGAAAGAAGAGCATATTTTTCATAATATATCAAATACATCAATTTCAGATGATATATATTTACACATTGATAAATATGAAACTACACAAACAATGACAAGACAAAACCAAATAAACACAAATACTATTTGTCAAACAAAATAATTCATATTTTTATCATTCTGTCTGCCTTGTGTGTTACACCAACAGCATAATCAGGCCTGCAATAAAAATTCTTCAGAAAGGTTCATCAGGAAAGCATTATAATCTGCTGAAATCAGGATAATCCTTTAAAGCCAGTGTCATGTATTTTACCATTAGAATCAAAGTATTAGGCTAATACAAACATTACAATTGATACTTTGCAGTTTCACTGAACTGTCATCTGTTCCTTAGGAAGTTATCAATATGTTGTACTCTAATATTTAGCTGCTTTTAATTACTTAATACTACTCTGATCAGAAAACTGTATTTTCATTCAGGCTCCAACCTGTTCAACAAATCACATAATTACTATAATGATAAGCACCCAATTTAATTATGTAAACAACGCTTAATTTCACAAGCTGTTATATAGTTTGACAATTATATTATTCTTGCGTGAGAAAACAGTAGGCTTATTAGTATTTAATCCTCTCAGATATTCTAAGAAGAACAGGAAGGAAAGGAGAAGGAAGGGAAGGTCTAGGAAGAAAAGATCGCTTTGCAACTCTACACATTGCACCGGGCTGTCCCTAAACAAGAATTGTCACTGATCATGACTTTTTTAGAAAAAATTTTTTTAACCTCAATTAATTTCTTTACTTATAAATAAAATGTTTTAACTAAAAAGGTTAACACCAACTTCACTTATTCAAAGAATTTAGATATAATGCTATTTATTCACACTGCAATTACTTCGAAATTTAGCATTTATTCTTAATAGTTGTAAATATATTTCCCTGTTTTTCCGAACAATTTTAACGCAGAATGCTGACGAGAAGAATATAGCTACATTCTATAGTTTCAAAATAAGAAATATAATATAATTGATCGGAAAATACTATTTTATAGAAATAAATAATTCAATTATCACGTTCCCACAGAATAAAAGTGTGAAAGAAATCATACCCATATTATGAAACAAATGGACACTTTTACTTCTAAAAGTATACACAAAACCGTTACTTAACACCACATTAAAGGAGAAACCAAAACATGCGATCGGTAACAGAATAAATCCCTCACACACTCATCAAACGTGTCTCGCATCTGCTGTTGCCACTGCAGACAAAAAGTGTCTTTTAAATCGACGCATAGCCGATAACTAAACAATAGGTAATATGCTAACCAAACGTATTGTTTTAAACGAATAGTACCTGTTTTTCGCTATAACATGGTGCCATTCATTTGATAAATATACTGATTCGTACAATTTGCAAAGTCAGTGTAATTTTATTCAACAATATGGTTCGCAGTGTTATCCATACGCTGTATGGCGGCCATGAGAAGTCGTGAAGTCACACTGCTGACATTTTCTTAGCTTCATTTTTGTAACGTCAGGCTTACTCCATCTGTTCTAACCTCTTTGGTTACTATGATCTTTCTAAAGAAAAATTACCCGTTGCATGACGAGAAATGGTTGGAGATCCTTGCTTGAAATTCCGAGTGTCATTTGCAACAAATCAAGTACCTCTATTTAAAACTTAAATTTTATTTGAAAAAAGACTATATTTCAACGACAGAAGTAAGTTTCAAAGAGAAACCTATGTTTCTACTGATGTCAAGACACAAAACATGTTAATACATTCAAAAGTTCAAAAGAATGTAACGAGGCTAAGGTTTTTTTTTTCTTGTTTTTTTTTCTTTTCTTTTCTTTCTTTTTTTCTTTTTTTTTTTTGGTGTGTGTTAAGTAAGAACTTTTATGAAACATCTAAAGTAGTTTGTCAACAAATAGAAATATAGGTTAGAAAACTCAGATTCATTCATACTAAGGTCTAAGAATGGAAACTATAGGCCTCATTCAATTGAAACACAGATGAGCCCTCAAGCAGCGATCATTAGTACACTGTTCTTCTTTCGTTTGAGTTTCGCTTGATTGCTTGAGCTTGATTGCCCTAGATTGCTTTCTCCTAGATTTCACTTGAACGCTTGAGCTCTAGGAGACAAGTTCAGGTTACTCATTCTCCTGTACTTTTCCGTTTTGCCGGCGCAGGTGATAGAGTCGCTAATAATGGTAGAACTGATGTCAGACGGAATATTCTCTCTGGTAATCTTTTACGCATCATTTTCAAAACACGTCGCAGCCATTTCTTATCAGATTGAATGTTTCTTTCAGTACTGGCATACAATTAGATAGAATTTGTACCAGATAGTTCAATTTTATACCCAAAGGCCATTCGCGGAAATTAAGTGAATTAGGATGGAATCACACCGCTCACTCGAAGGCGAAAATGTAGAAAAGGCTAAGTCAAGGGTTGAATTCTTCGAATAAAATGCACTAGCGAAGTAAAGCAATGCGGTTTTACATAATTTCTGAGTAAGCTATTCGTACGAATTGAAATAATTCTTGCATTTAAACTTGCATTCTAAATCAAGATTTAACTTGAAATTAATGTAGATAATTACTGAGAGAATTAAATTTTTGTAGTGTAGTTTACGTGAGATGGGATCACGTGATATGAACCGGCGAATCAGGATGATCAAGGATGAAGAAAGTTAATTTACGGAGTGCGCTAGGCTAGGCTTTTAACTCCAATGTCCATAGCTTTTTGGAACGTAGTTGGCGCTCCGCTTAAACCAAAGGGCATTCTTAAGAAGGCATAGACGCCTGATTTTGCTATGAATGCGGTCTTCTGGACATCCTCCGGCTTAACGGCGATTTGAAAGTAACCGGAAGTCAAATCTAGGGTTGTCATATACTTCGTTGAGCGAATTTTTCTAATTATTTTGTCAATTATTGGTAGGGGATACGTGGGATATTTTGTTATATTATTCAACTTACGATAATCAACTGCAAACCTATACGCGTCCGGGCGTTCAGGCGGTAGCCCGTTCTTTTTTCTACAAAGGACCATCGGACTTGAGGGCTCGTGCTTGGTATAATTATTTTATTCTTTAACATAGTTTTTGCGTGAGTTTCCAAAATTTCTTCTTTTACTTTATCGTACCGGTAAGGTTTTGACCGGACTGGAGGGGCATTCCCAGTGTCTATGGAATGATTAACTACCTGACAAAAACCAGGTTTGTCGTTAAACAAAGAATTAAATTTCTTTATCAGTCCTTCAATCTTCTTTTTCTCTTCAAGCTTCAAATGTTCTAGGTGCAATTCCGGCATGGAAACTTCATCTTCTTCTACCGAGTCCATGTGCACCTGGAACGTGTAATTCTGAAAATTAAGATTTGCGCCGGATGCGCGTAAAAAATCGACCCCCAATATAACGGACGTGAGTAAATTTTACACGACTGAAAAATTAACTTTTAGAACCTCGTTTTTAATCTGAACATGCAGTGCGGTTTTCCCCAAACATACGCACTGTTTGCCTTGGGTGGCAATTACTTTCTGTGCCTTGGCTTTAAACAGTCTGTAACGACAAAAATGCAAAAAATTCTGAGAGGAATGAACATTGTGCACCTGTGTTCAGGAGTGCAGTGGTTGGTACATTATTTACCAGAATCTGTACCCCCGGCATAGCTAGATTTTGTACCACCACTGTATTTAAACAAATTTCTGAGGGGTCTTCTTTGCCACTCGGTGACCGTTGCCCCTTCTCGATCACCTGTTTGCGTTTAAATTCTGGTTACCAGCCGCCTCTTTTCGCTGATTTTTATATCCACCGCCCTTAGATTTATCTGCGCTCTTGTTATTGAACTTTTCACTTTTTCCCGTCTGCCGATACGCCTTGTACTGAACTTGTGGTTTCTTTTGGGGAGTAAATCTTGAGTACTGCCCAAACTGACTTGCACGCGCTTTCTCCGAGTTTCTTCTACTTTGGAATTTCACTGCAAGCTGAAATAGAACTTCTAATGTTTGCGGATTACGCACTTCGAGGAAATCTTGCGCTGCTTCTACCGTCAGCGCAAGATTCGTCAGCGGTAGAAGGTAGAATTACTTCGATAATTTCTTTATCGGACCTTTTCCCGTATAATAGATTAAAAATATGAACTTTTCTTAAAATGAACTCCGTCAAATCCTCGAAACCGCCTTGGTATTTATTATACAATTCTGATTCAAGCTTCTCACGATCTTTAACGACTGGAAATGCTTTTAGTAATGCAGACTTGAAATTTTCCCAGTTATATGATTCAGATCCTGGGTCCCTTAACAAGAACTTTCCTATACTCTTCTGCCAGCTAAGGGCTTGACCTTTTAAGGCTGTAGTAGCGATGATCACTTTTTTGTAGCTGATTCACAGGGTGTAAGGTGAAATGTAGGTCCAATTGCTCCAAAAATGTCAGGACTGAGCTCTAGCCGTCAAATGTTGCTGTTGGTTTCATAGATGCACGCAACGTTTCCACGAGGAATCCAAACCCTTCTACTGGGTTCGTGGATGTTAGAGGGACCTAAAAGGTCGGAGGGGTCAACGTAAACTTCCCGGATTCTAACGACATGGTCCGTTAAAATCCTTTTCGGGCGCCGAATGTAGAGTTCCTCACTTCGGAATTTTAAATTAATGTTGGAAGTGAAGAATCTAAGAACTGATAAGCGAATAATCGCTTGAGTTCGGTGACAAGAAACAAGAAGATAGAAGGGTAACTAACCCTTTATTATTCCAATAAGATTTAACAATACTACTCCGCCTTGGAGTGCACAAACAAAGCCCGAACTTGGGCTTGAAGTTAAAAGACAAAGAATTAAACTAAAACTAAGATTAACTAAAGAAGTATAGCCGAAGCTATCAAGGTTGAAATTGAGTTGGTCCCTTAACTTATTTGACTACGAAGCTTAGCAAAGGCCTGAGTAGGGCCGAGCGTAATAACAGCTTTGCGAGAGAGAGAGAGTGGCCAAAAAGGCAGACGTGCGTAAATCAGAAACTCTGACTCAGTAAGTAACTTCGTGGTTTAAATACGGCTCCTCCTCATTAAATATTCAGCAAGATTTCAAAACTACGTTCTGGCCGGAAGTAGTAAGTTGAAGTTAAGAATTTGACAGGAAAGGAACTTTAACTTAAAATTTAACTGTTAATAAAATTAACATATCCTTACAACACATTTTACTGAAACATGAAAGCCTATTTTTTAACAATATATGAAAATATACGAAGCTGATTTTTTTTCAAAAGCGCACCCTCCTGTGCTTGGAATCCATTCCAATCGACGAGAATTAATTACCTATTTTCTTCGTATTTCTTCATTTGTCGGGAAACAGAACATACTTAAGTTCTTTTTGGATTGATACGAATAATTTGATGAAGTGGATCCACCCATATTTCTCGGAATTAGGTCGCAATCCATCAATAAAAATGTAAACAACACAACGCAAGTGCGCTTCATTTAGATATACAGATGATGAGTCAGCTCCCCTTGCTAGGAGCCTTATACACCCTATACTTTGGTATGAATTGCTGTCCATCTATTAGACCTAAAGGATTGCCCTTAAATTCTAAGTACTTTGGCACTTTGAATTCTGTCTTTTTTAAAGCACAAAACATAGCCACCACATTGATTCGAACGTTTTTGCCACGGAATGATGGGTTCCGAGTGATTTCTACAAGAACGATCGATCGCGAGTTCAGAGTGATCGTTGTGTTTCAACTGAATACCAAAACAGCAAAACGAAGCTCAACTGATGACGTATCACGACTAACGATCACTAAATGCTTCAATTGAATGAGGCCTTAAGGTTAGCCAGATTGAAGGATCAAACAAATCTGTATCATTTTTATATGTTATGGATAAGCGCTAAATGATGATTACGAGATCTAAAAAGACATCGCTTATTCTACATCGCTACTCCAATATTCTATATCACAGTTATGGTAAATAACAAAAATAAATACATTTACATATATAACATCTCCATTTTCTAAGAGAAATAATAATAAATAATAAAATATATATTATGAGGCTATAAATATTTAAAAGAATAAGGCATATTCTTTTAAATAATAAGGTTTTTTAAGAGTCCTACCAGATCGAATAACATAGTTATGCTCATTCGCAAAACTTGGTGATACATTACCTCTTTCGGTATCTGATGGCTCAACACTTAACCAATGTGTTGAGCCATCAAATACTGAAAGAGTATACAGAAGAATTTACAGATA